CACCAAAACTAGGCGAATTTAATCATAGTGTATTTGAAAATAATGCATTTATATAAAAAAATCAAAAAAATTGATCCAGAAACTTTGGGATACGATATCTCGCGAACCACAGGTCCAATCCAGATGAAAATATCATCATTCGATTTGTCTAGTCTTGGCGAATCGAATGGTGATATTTTCGTTCAGATTGGATCCGTGGTTCACGAGATATCACATCCCAAAGTTTCTGGATTTTTAATCAGATTTTTATCAGATTTTAATCTGGAAATTTGTTAACAAAACCCGTGATTTTCCGGAACTAAAAAACCGGATTTTTTTCTGATTTTTGTCTTTTATTTTTTTTACAGGGTAATATGCAGTTTATTAGTAGCACATTAAAAAGATTATTAATAAAAAGCTTAAAAGTTATAAGTAAATTTAATATAATCAGTATTAACTAAAGATGATGTCTTAATTAATTGTGATTTGTGATATCCAATCAGAGAATTGTAATTTAATTGCAATTAATTAATCAGAGAATTGTAATCAAGTTATAACTAATTGTAATCTTATTTTTAGTATTAATTAGATAAGTTATTGCAGAGTTTGATTTTATTAATTTTATCTTTAAGCTTGACTTGAAGTATTTTAAATCAGAAAACTATATTATATATTTATTATTAATTTTGTCAAAAAATATTTTAATATATAATCAAAAATTTTTATTAATATTGTTGAATATTTTTTAATAATTGATAAGATTTAAATAAGTATAATTCACAAAATATATAATTTTTGTATTGAAAATAAATTGATATTATTCTGGACATATTTATGATCTGCTTGATACAAAATAAAAAGATGAATACTTTAAGCTCAATTAATATGAATAATAATTTTACTTGATAAAACAAATATGTTAATTGAATTATATTGAAAAGTTTTCAAATATTGTTATTTTTATCAATTTAACTATTCATAACTAGATTATCTTATATAAATTATTTGTATATATTTTTTTTCTAATCAAGTTGCTTGTCTTAATTAAATATATTTAGATTGAATAATACTGTTTTAGTTTGACAATTTTAAAAGCAATTGAAAATAACTTATTACAACTCTAATTATTTATAAGAATAAGAAATATTATTTTATTAATCTTGCATATTGAATATATAACTGTTCATTATTTTTTTGTAATTACTTTCTTATTTGCAAATACTTAGTTCATTATATGATTAAAGAGGTAAAGTTACTTGATTCACAAAATATTCAGCTAATATACAATAACTTTTGATAATGAAAAAACTATTCTTTTCTTATTTGAAATGCAAGTAAGCTACAAAGAATATCTGAAAATATCAATATACTTTTTTTAATTTTGCAAGCTAATATTTTTGGTAATAAATTTATTAAAATGGATAAAGATAATAAAATTCTTAATCCAAAAATATATCAAATCTATGAGCTTAAGATAGCAGTTATAAAGTGTATAACAAAATATCTAAAAGAAAAACTTTTAATTAATAATATATGATATATTATACAAGTAATTGATCATAATAATTAGTTATTTAATATATTAGATAATATAATACAGATAATAATATAATCTAATATAGCATGAATTAACTTCATGAACTTTATTTTTATATTGAATCAAAAAAATAGCTTTTTTTAATTTAATAAAATATATATTCACAAATTAATATAATAATTGATGTAAAGAGAATTAAAAAAAATTTTATTGTTATATTCAGATATAATTTCTGTTTAAAATGCCAAGATAATAAGAAGAATATAGAAAAAATGAAAATTGGAAGCAAAATTCTACTGTTTTTATATAATAATTATAATTTTATATACAAATAAAATTAATTATAATAAAGATAATATTTTTATATATACAAATACACATTAAGAATTCTTATATATATTTAGCATTAGAATATTTAAATTAACTATAATATTCTATAAAATATTATTTTATTTTTCTATTATAATAGATTAGAACTATTAGATAATCAATCAATAACTTCAGAAAAGTTCTCTTAAAGGAATTTTTTGTTTTATTGCAGATTTATTTTGAATTATTATTTGTTAAAACAATCAAGTCAACATTATCTAATCTTTAATATGTATTTTTTAAAAATTTTGACAAAAAGTATTAACTATAATTTGCTAAAACAAAAAAGATTTGTTTTATTATACAAACAGAAATTACATTAGATAAAGATTTTTTCAGAATAAGATGAATTAATTATGCAATTTCTAAATACAATTAAACTTCTCTATATTTATCATTTTTAGAAAAGCAAAATTTGATGACTATAGAGAGGATGTGACTATAAAGAGATTTTTTTTATTATATTTATATATAAATAAAAAAGCAAAATAAGATAATTATAAAAGGGTGTAATTATAAATGAATGTAATTATAGAGAGGTTTAATTATAATTAAAAGTAATTTTATTAATAAATATTCATTCTAATTATCATTAAGATAATATTGTGCTCATTCTATACATTTTGCTTATATATATATAAGTATTGATATTGCATTTGGCAGATTTTTTATAATTTTTACATTTTCTCAAAATTATATTGAAGATCTGCATACTTTTTTAATAGTTTTGTAACTAATATTCATGTTGATATTATGGGATTTCTTCAGATATATTATTTGATAACTTTAGAATAATTATTATACTATTTATATATGATACTTTCAGTTTTTTTAATTTATTAATATTATAATAAATAGTTTTTTTTGAAATATTTCATAATGTATTATATATTTACTTATTTCATTTACATATTTGATCACAAAGTTTATTATTGAATATATAGCAAATCACATTAAGATAATCATATATATTACTATATAATTGAAAATAATTTTATTTATATTTTAATTTAGTAATATATATGTTATAACTAAAGTAAAAGTATATTATAAAAAATAAAAGATAATATAATGACAAATAAAAAACAAATAAAGATAAAACAAAAGTAAATCAAAAATAAAATAAAAAATAAAAAACAAAACAAATAAATATAAAATAAACAAGAAAAACAAACAAAAAAACAGAAAAAATAAGATAAAAATTAAAATCAAAACATAATTTTCTTAATTTATTTCATGTTATATATATAGCAAATTTGAATTATACTAATTTATATGCTATTTATATATATAATTTACAAAGAAAAACTAATAAAAATATAAATCTAAAATATATTGGTACACAATGATTATTATATAATATTAAAAAGAAATTTGTGTAAAATCTATATATTGCTAACTAAATTAATATAACAATGAATAAAAAATAAGATTTAAAATATAAAATATAAAATAATATAATAATATTATGAATTAATTGGTTATTTAAATGATAATAAAATTTAAAAAAATATAAAAGTGAAAAATATTAGAAAGAATATTACTACACTTAAAAATAATAATAAAATGATAATAATATAAAAATTAAAAAATTTTTATTAGTAAAATTAAAAATTTTATATAAAAAACTTGTATTTTTTATATTTTTACTATATTTTATTAATAAATTTTTTTATTATTGCATTCTTTTTTATTGTTATTATATTTTTTAAAATATGCAAATTTAAAAATTTTTTATTTTTTATTATATTTTTTAATTATTATTTTATATACTATATTAGAACTTCAAATATTTTTATAATAAATTATTATAAAACTTATTTATTTTATAATTCAAAACTAATAAAAAATTTGACTTTATATATTAAGTATATATAATGCCAATTAGAAATAATACAACAACATCAAAATTTATTAATTAAATATAGTAAAATACAGATTTTTCTCTTTATATGAAAGTTTTCAATTTTACTAATAAATATTTTTTATTTTTATATTAAAATGAAGATAACATTACATATTTTAACATAGATTTTTTAGATTTAATCTGATAAAGCTATTTTAATTACATATAAAGTTAATTATTTTTTTATAATTAAAATATATAAAAAAATATTGATTTTATATGTAATTAGAATAGCTTTATCAGATTAAATCTGAAAAATTTGAAAAATATAATAATATTAATAATATTTAAATATAATAATATTTTTTTAATTATATTATTATAATCAAAGTTAACTATATATTTTTTATATTTAATAAATATTAAATTATTAATTAAATTATAAAAGAAAATAATTATTGAAATAATTTTTAAAATAGTTATTAAAATAATTATTAAAATAGCTATTAAAATAATTATTGAAATAATTATTATTGAAATAATTATTTTGAATAATTATTAATTAATTAATTAATTATTTAATAGAATATAATAATAAAATTATTCAATAAAATAAAACACTGTAATTGTTTAATTTGATATTTTAAAATAGTAAAATCTAATTTATAATAATATTTATTTAAATTAATAAAAAGAAATTATTAATATTTTACTTATTTAACAAAATAAATATATATTACTTATCTTTAAAAATATAATCAAATCTTTTTATAATCATACTTATTTATAATCATATTTCTCTATAATTACTCTATTTTGCTTTTCTATTATATATAAACATACAGTTAAATCACTATAATTACATCTGTTTATAATTACATCCCTCTTATTTTGCTTTTTCATTTATATATAAACCTTTTTATAATCACACCCCTTTATAGTTACACTTCTCTATAGTCATCTTATTTTGCTTTCCCATTTACATATAAACATAATAAAAAAACTTCTCTATAGTCACATTCCCTCTATAATCACCAAATTTTGCTTTTCTGAGAATGATAACTATAAAGGTGTTTGACTATATAGTAAAAAAAATCACTTTATAGTCCAAATCAAAAGTGTGAAATATTAGATATATGATCTCCACGAACATAATTCGTCAAATTCATGTATGGCATAACCTGAATTGAAAGTTGAATGCTTCTTATGAGCTCCATTTGAAGAGGTATCACCTGTTCATGGTAATTGTCTAATTTAAAGACAACAACCATGCCTGTGGCAGAATATACTATATTGAACGCGAACAAAGCCTGCGTTCTCAAGTATAGCCACGACTTGTCTATAGTGCCACCAAATGAAGCAGTTAGTGCTGTTGCACCTAAGTCATACTTAGTCATGCTTATATTCTCTTTATAGTCACCCAATTTTGCTTTCCTGAGGGTGGTGACTGTAGAGAATTTGACTGTATATTTTTTTTTGTAACGCATAAGAACTTAGTATTTAAGAAAGGCAACTAAGACTATAAGAGCGCGTAAAGTCCGTCAAATGAAATCACGTGGGTGAAAAATTACTGGCAAACAAAAAAAGGTCACGATACCGTAAATTTTTTTGGGGAAATAAACAAATTTTCTTGATGTCTCACATCCCAGGAAAAGGCAAAAGTGAGATTTTTTGTGAATTTTCTATTGCTTTGCTGATCTGTTTATATACTTCTCACAGAGCCAGATATTGGCGACATCTACAGAGATTCTCTAAAAGCATATGAAGAATATGACGCTTGTTTAACTATTACTATATATGGCGAAACATATTTGGATCCAGAAAAATGTAAAGCCAGAGGTTTTGATGCAATCAAGTAAATGATCAACTTTGTTTCCTTGGTCTCTTTGCTGATGTATCTCTTTCTACAGAGCATTTGAGGAAGAAGAAGAAAGAACCAAATTGTCCGTGGAATGGATTGAAAGAACAACAAAAGAGAAAGGATTTCGCGTTCAATTCCAGGAATTTCTTGCTAAAGTGTAAGCTGGCATCTTGTTGCTCTTAATTACAAAACGAAATCACAGTCTCAAGTAGAAATTAATACCATCTCTTTTCATAGTCCACCAGAATATGTAAATAAAGATCCGAAATCTCTGGATTGCTTGGATTACTCCCCAAAAAGCTATCAAAAAAGGTATTTATTTTAATCTACTTATGAAGTGATTGATATTTAGTGGAAAATGTTGTTAACTCTTTCTTAAAAATTTGTTCTTTACTGGTTAAAGCTTCATATATTGTGGATCATAAAATCAAATTCGAAGATGAACTTTATGTCAAGGTCGTTGCCGTAAAGATGAACAAAGACGATGTTTTTTAGAGGTGGATGAAAAAGTGGCGATGAATTGGAATATTGCGAAATTACGTATCAGCAAGCTATGGTTGGATTATAATTTTATTGACGTAAACAACCTTTTTTATTTCTGCAAATGATATAATTCTGATCATAACAAATATTTTTCACCAAGAAAAAGCTGAGTATGTAATGCTAAAATAAATGCAAATGAAAAAAAATACACCAATTAAAACCCAATCGGGCAGAACTTTATATCAATGTTTTAATGAATTATCAATGCGTCTAAGTAAAAAATGCTATCTTCGCAAGGGGGAATTCATTGTGTTTGATCTAGATAAGCTCGAGGATGGTTACGGCAGAAGAAAAAAATAAGGAACGTATTATCACCAGATTTCACAAATTCAGAACTTGAAGAATCTAATAATTGATTAGGATTATTCTAAGCTTACATAAAGATGCGAGACATTTTTCCATATCCTGCAATTGTATGATCCCTAGTTACATTTGCATGAATTTTCCGAATGTGTCACTATTATATTTGAAATAAAATATCGAGATCTTTCTTAACCTGACAATTTATTTCTTTCTTGTGATTGCAGATACAAATCAGAATATTTTGAGTTTGAATTTCCTGGTTAGCCATGTCTATATCTTTCGAAGAAAGTGTCAGTTTTCGTTCATCCGTTCGATTTTTTTACCTATTTTCATAGGGTTGTGACCCCTATAACCCTGGATCAAACCTTACGAGGTTTGGAATAATTTCTCGCCGCATTTGTCACTATGAGTCAGATTAGCAGTGAATCAGATAATGACCTTCAGATTGAAAACTCGTCTTTAGAGAGTACTCCTTTCGCAAGTCCACAATTAGGAAATCCCGAGGACTATCCACTTCGTCAGCAACTACTAAAGACATTTGCGTTATATATTCTAAAAGGTTACCCCAGAAACCCCTACCAGTGGTATCGAAATTCCGGAATTTATAAAAGTGTGATGTGTGATATTGAAATATTAACGGGACCTAAATCAATAACTGTACTAGTTTGTGATAGAGAAAAATATTTTGCTTACAGTCACAACTACATGTCCTACATGCTAAAAAACAGTCGGAACTGTAAAAATGGTGGACCCATATAAGACAATCGGAGCTACACTCGGCATAGCCCAACGATAAATTTGCAAAGTATGAGCTTACGTAGTTCATCAAGTATGAACATAGATAGTTCGCCGAAATTGTTATCAGATTCAAACCTCTTTCCTGAAACACAGATGAACCAGCCACCATATATTCCATTATTTACTCGGTCAAAGACTGATATGGCCACGCAAACAATCAAACCCGCCAGTGATTCATCACCCGAAGATAACCCTCCTAGTTAAAAACAGAAAAGGAAAAAAAGGATAATATCCCAAGTTAAAAAAGCTCATCGAAGAATTGGCCAGCAATATTTCTCACAAAAATCCGACTCTTTTAAGCAAGGCTCCGTCAACATCAACCTCGCAGGACACTCCATCGGAAGAAGACGTCGATTTCATCCCTCTATAACAAGATTTCAACCGACGAAGCACATAATGATGGCATGAGCCAAGCTGTCATTAAATCATATTTCGATTTTGGAGAAGGTTTATTACTACGTTATAAATACCATAGGAAAACTAATCGAAAGCGCAAATCTCTGATCCTAGTTAACAATGAACTCAAGTCAGATCGGTAAAGAAATCGAAGATACCACACTATATAAAAAAGAGAGATCACGGAAAACATACGAACTCTTTGACAGCATCGGGGTTGATAGGATAGCATGCGTTAAAACATTTTCAGCGAACACCATATCGAAATTAAACTGGGACGAGATCGATTTTATAATAGCTAGATTTCCGAAAAAAAGTAGTCTGAGTGGTTGAATATGATAAACATTAGTGTAACTCTGACCCAAGGTCAGTCATTGAGTATTTACAGCACATACGTTGTGATCTGAACCAACTTGATGCAGATAAAATGTTTATATACCCTGATTTTTTGCCAAAAGTGATCGAAAAAATAAAGTTCACCGGGCATTATCTTTTAACCACGGAATATGCATTGAGATTTTTTCTTGGCGCGTACAATTTGTAACGCTCACGTGATTTTTCCGAAGTAATCGACGCGATATTTTTTAACCATATGTATGCGAGTGCATCGAAACCATATTACAGATTAATAATGAAATATGTCGGAAAAGCTTTCAGAGACCGAAATCATATTACGGATAATTTTTGGGACAGCAAGGTCACACTTTTTTCTGATATCTGGAAAACAAATCAAACAAGCCAAAAACGTCAAGGATCTGCAATCTTGCTGATTCAACGATTTTTTTCGCGTTAAAATATCATATATATCTTCCATCCACCTCCCTCCTTTTTTTCGCAACGCAGAATCAGAAATCAAACATATATTCACTCTTAATGCCTCGATCGCCAGTTAACCGAATACTGTATATCTAGCGCTGATTTTCGGTGTGGGCCAGGTGCTAATTAACTCGGAATTTTAAATAAATCCGCATCATATATAAAACAGTTAACTTCAAACATGCGATCCGAGATTGATTCATTGAGACAACAGATTACCGAGCTTAGGGCTGAGAATGCCTCGCTTATGGGCGAAAATGCCGAGAGTATGGCTGAAAAAGCCAAGCTTGAAGCTGATTATGCTGACCTTAAGGTAGAATCGTGGAACTGGAACAGACTACAAAAGAAAACGCTGAGCTTAAGACCAGAGTCGCGAAATTGGAACAGACTGCAAAAGAAAATGTTGAGCTTAGAGACAGAGTCACGAAATTGGATGATGCTATGGACAGCTCGACATCATTCACCCAAGCCCAAATCGTTAGAAGATAAAGAGATCAACGAATTCGTGGATTCAAAAAATAAGGAAAAGGCTAGTAACGAGATAAGACAAAGATATAGGAAGAAGCTTCCAGTTCAAATTTCACACAATGCTTATTTGATGTCAGCAGGTTCTTCTTGTAATAAGATTTCAGATACTGAGACGAGAGAAGAACCATGTGGTGATCGAGACCAATTTGGTCCCGATCGGAATCACATGACCAAGAAAAACTAACATATCATCAAGACGGGAATCCATTCACTTCGAAAGTAAAAGTTTCCTATATTCAGAGAACAAAACAAGATTTAATACATTATCTATCTGAAGATAGACTTTGTACACTTTCAAAAAAGTGCTCGTTTCGTTATCTCAAAATGATTATTCTCAACTAATACAGTGCGTACAACTTAGTTCCAACCAAAAATTTTTAATGTGTCAAATTTTAGATATTAATCATATATTAATTTGATAATTTTATTAATAAAAAAATTGTTTGTATTAATTTTATATAGGAGTGATCAACTTTTTAATTTAATAATAAAATTATTTTTATTACTACGTTAAAAATTATTATATATATAAAAAATCTGAAAGCATAATTTTGTTTAACTCAAGTAATTTTATTATTTTATGATTAGATTTGGTATTTATTGCTTTTTCTGAATGAGAAGTAATAATTTTAAATTTTATTAAATTTAGTAGTTGAAACTAAGTTGTGTGCACTGTAATAACAAATAAAATAGGTTAGACTTGATCATAGACAAAGTTGGTAAAATTATGATATCATACTTATTTTGATTATATGATCAAGCTAATAATGTTAAAGACAAAACTTTAAAACCAAACAAAGAGAAATTTTGTGTTGATATAATTATGCAAAATCATTTAAAAGTAAAATTACAAAACTCTATTATGAATCTGGAATTGTTGATTAAACTACTAGAAGCTAGCTTTATAATGAAGTGAAAACTCTTCTTTCTGAGATTTCTCAAAAATATTTGCAAGACTCAAAAAACTATAAAAATTTATATGCTGTTTGGCAGGAATCGTGATTTTATAACTAAAAAAGAAATTAAGAAAATTAAGATAGACAAGATAGACAAGATTCAGTTAGTTATATATAGTACAAGATCTATTTCAGATCAAAATATTGCCCAAATCTTGATTATTATAAATCACATGATCTCAATCGAGATCAAAAATCCAAAATTTGATTCCGATCAGAATTAAATAAAATCTAAAATTATAAATTCAAAAGTCAAGGTAAATATATTAGTCGAATCTCAAGTCTCTAATTTCTCTTTTGATTTGAGAACTAAGAAGATCTCAGTAAAAATCAAGTAACTACACCATATACATCTCTATTCAAGAAGATTCTACCTGAAAAACAGAATAATTCAAAGAATGAACAGAGTTCAGAATCTTTAATTCATAATTATACTTATTTTACAACAAAATATTATAGCAATATCCTAACATATCTGTAGAGTTTAGTAATGAATTTTAATATAAAAAACATATCATTTCGTCAAAAATGTCCAGCATGCGAGCTAAATTATAGAGAATGTATAAGTGATATATATAAAAGTAAATCTTATTATATTGGCTGTGAACAATGTGAAATCGAGATAACGACATAAATTCAGACATGTGATATCTTGCTTTGTGAGTGTGTCATCGGGCCAACTTGACTTGACATTATAGTATTGAATATACTTATTTTTTTTAGTTATTATCAATTATCTAAATTATAGTTGTTATTTCGAGATAAGCAATTATTTTTGCCATATAATTGTCACGCGTTATTTATTTGGAGCACATGAGAGATGTTTTAACTTTACTAGCAATGAAGCCAAATGCCCGGTATGCAAGAAAACACATACGCATCGAGATATGTGGGGTAATTGGAGTTGTCTCGGATCAGGTAAAAAGAATTTCTATTTTCTTAAATATCTTTGATATATTTGAGAATGGCGTTTTAATTGTCACGCAGGATTAGTAATCGGATGTGCTGGCATAAAGTGCTGAAACTTCATGTATGAAGAGATTCGATTTAGCAAAAGTTTGAATAGAAACTCCATATCTTTTACTGCGCCACGTAATGTATAACGTGATTTCACTGAACTGATCTTGGTCAAGGAATAACAGGTAATTCACTTGCGTAACATAGATTTTCGATCAACCTGTATTATGGAAGAAATTTCTCGAATTAAATTTTGAGCGGTTTAGACGATCAAATTCGAAAAAATTTTATAACTTCCAAATCGTCAAAAAACTTTCAAACTCTTTCCTGGCCTCGATACTGCGTACTACACATTTTATTTTGTCTACGTTGACGTTATGACCGAAAACTTCTATTTATGAACAGCGGTGAATCACTCACGAAGGAAAATATTAATTCTAAATGCTGAATATTCTAGAACTTGTGCGTTACTTACAGGAGAATGAAACACGGTCCTATGCTGAATTTCTGAACCGTCATCGTGATACAATCCTCACATCAGTACGTTCTTCAGACGACTGACTTGCTCTTAACAGCACCTGGACCCGTAGATTTTTGTTCAAAGCAATAGAGCTAACTAAATCCAACAAATTTTTCAACTTTGGAGAGTAAGGTGTCTTGATATTTTTTGTTTAAGGGAGCTCTTATCTGCTTTTATCCAGATTAAGAATATTGATTTTCGTATCAATTCAAGTGATTGATTGGTGGAACTTCTATCTGCTTTCATCTAGACTAGGAATATTGGCTTTCATCCCAGCCACCACAATTTGCGACTTATTTTCTTTACTTGGGTTGAGTTTTTTACTTTTGATGGAAATAAGCGTATTCTCATTTATATCTTTATACTTGATTTGATAGGTCAGAACCGAGTGTGCAAACAGAAAAAGGTTTTGCAGATTTTTATCCCTATGAGTGACTTTTATGCAAACAGTGAATTGCTAATGAGTAACTAACTTCATTCATTTGTAAAACAGATGTCAGTAAACCGGATACATCTTATGAATAGTATGGATCTGTATGGTGTCGCTGGCAAACAAAATAACCTATAGAGGTTATCTAAAGGCTTTTGAGGAAACCAGTGAAGCTGAAGTAAATTCACCACAGAAGAAGTCACGCACATAAGTTGCATTACTCTCAAAGTCATTTGTTGCTATCTGTGATTAACTCATATCACTCACTTGGTTCAAGTGAACCTCAAGAAATAATCGCAGATATTGGAAAAAATCCGTTTTTTGTAACTGAACACAATTTGGATGAGGATAAAGAGGATGAGATGAGAAGGATGAGGTATGGTAGTTCGCATTGAAGTTGTATCCCTGATAATACAGTAGTGTTATGTGTTCCGCAAAAAATCGGATCGTATCCGGGCTAAAGCTTGGCCTGATATTATTACTTATAATTAACACATTTAGACATCATTATCGGAGCTTGGAAAAGCTCTTTCAAGTATCACCATTAATTATGAAAGCCTCAATAGAGATATAGTATATTTGCGTTGAGAAATTGCAAGTATTAAATACAGTATGTGTTTTTTGTATTTTTTTGTAAAACATATCTATTTATCTTGGATTTAGTTTTTTTTCTCTTTCAGGTTAGTTCCAAATCACAAGAAGGATGGTACAACAGCAAGATTATTGCGTCATTTTTCGATGATTATTTAACTTCACTTACAGTCAGTCTATACAATATTATGTTTATGGTCACGCTCGAAATGATGTATTATGACATAAGAATTAGATGAGTACGAAAATTTCCCATATTAAATCAAAAATATGTATTGGAATTTACAATTAAGAATCGGTAATTTCACTACGGGAGTCAGACAATCAATAAAAACCTATAAGTTTACTGGAGCAGACAAAAATTTTATTATATTACAAAGGAAATTTTTGACTAAGAAAATAAGTTTACCGACTATTGACTATGCTAACGGCGTTTATTTTTCGGTTGGATCAAGTTAATTATAACTATTTATACAATCAAAATAAACAAATAAATAAAATGATAGTTATAATTTACTGCTCGCTAGATTTAAGTTGCGAAGCAGCATCAACCGTAGCATGCATAGCGGTGTTTGCAACATGATCAGCTTTTGCCCTGAGTTTGCTGGCGATTTTGTCGACGTCAGCTTGGTAATTCAACAAGAAGGGACGCAAGAATCTTCCGTAGACGATTTGAGCGCCTTTGAATTGAGGAAGTGCGAGCCTTTTTATATTTTTGATTCGATTAAAAATCAAGGAAAAATGGAATAGAAAAAAAGTGTTTATGACGAATTTCAATTATGAATCGAAAAATACGGTTGGTGTAATTAATTACCAGAGGAAAAATAGAGTCTTGAAGAGATAGTAGAAGGGCATCCAGTAAAGAATGACGTCGGAAAAGAATTCAACGATGCTTACGAATCCGTATACAGTCCTATTATTTATTTAATCATTAGAATACCCCGTCAAAGTTCGAGTAACATCTCTCTGCTTACCAATATGTTAACCATTGCGTATCATCTGCTTTATCGACACTTTCGATAGCTTTGAAGGAAGCGTACGCTAAATGCAATGAAAAACAATCCCGAATAAATATCCAATATTCATACAGTAATATATAATATGATTTATCAAAGTCTATTTATTATCTGGCGCAGTCACCAGATAAAACAGTACCTGGATATCCCCAAGCCAAAATATTCGACAACAATTGTCCCCAGAAATTAAAGAAAATCAATAAAAAGATAATTGAGGCAGTTCCAGCAGCGATATACGTCTTTGGAATGCTGGTATGTTGTTCCAATTTGATGACCTGCGGGTACTTTGAAAGTTCTTTGTCAAATTGGGCATTGTAGTATTTGAACTTTGTTTGAACGTTATCCATTTTTGGTTTAAATATGAGATATTTATAAGTATTAGGAAAGTAAGAGCTTTGGTTCGTTAAAATGAATACTTAAAAAATAGAAAAAAGGATGGCAACAAATTATCCTCTTTTATATGTGTGTGATTTGATTAAAAAAAATGATTCACCAAAATAGACTCTAAACATGTACACCGCAGATTGTAGCGATAACTAAATGAAAAAGAATGGATGATCGAATTGTATTTTATCGTTATACTTTATTTTGAGATCTAAACTCCTCAAGCATCATCACCTGATACTCATTCACATATGTTAAGGGCGACGACGATGAAAATCTCCTTTGTTATTCTGCGTTTCAAATTCAAAATTTCTTTATCGTTATGATTTTACTTATTCCTTTGATCGTTAGATTGGCGTTATGGTATCACAGTCAAGTCATATGTCGTAGAACATTAGGAAGAAATCAACAGTGAACACATGAAGACAAACAACAATATTTAATTTTTCGTAAATATCGATTCGTTATTAATAGATTTCGATCATAAATTACTCGGATTAGGTTAGAGAAGAAATCATTTCAATTATTCCGAGTACCACGTCCAGGTATACTTGTCAATCATCAACAAACAAAATCTTATACATTCTAGAATGTCAAAAACCATGTTTACGTAACCCATCCTCCATATGATAAAGCTTTTCGAAACAGGAATCATTTTTTTTTGATCAGAGAAAAAGAGCAAGTACAATCTTTGTAATCTGCTTTTTTATTTCTAATTGTTTGCAACAAATAAATTTAATAGCTTTATTGTTTTGCAGGGTTTTTTAAATACCGGAATTTCAATGTAAAACATACCCTACTTCAAATGAAGGGCTGCAGAGTCGAATCTCGAATGAAAGAAAAAGGACTTTTTGACAGATAATTTGATAATGGTGTCGTATTTGAAAGCAGTACACAGTGAAACTCAATATAGCAGATATTCGATGAGGTCATCATTCAAAATGCTTAATATACGTGATTCTGGTCAGTAATGGCCGCACACAAAAAGTATCATTATAATGAAAATCTCACTAAAAAGCGGTTATAAAGTAGTTAGCATGATTACACAATATAAAAGGTATCGCTTTGACTGCAACAGACAAAAAACATAATTCCGATATCTGTCTATGTATGTATATGTATTTAGCCAACATGATATGGGCTAATTTGACTCCCAAAATGATTTATATCAACTTTGGTAATTTTTGGCTGGAATTAAATCGGCTGTGGGCTGACGCAAGGGCGCGAGGTATGTACGCGCGTAGAAATTAAACTCATCGTTATTTATTAAAAACCAACAATGCAACTTGTCATACAGCAAATAAATATATAAAGAAGCGTAACATAACACATTACTATTAAAGAAACCTGCACAATTCTGAGATTATCCAATGCATATACACATACAAAGTTGTCAAGCAAAACATGTTCAATAAATGTAATCGAATATACAGTCATAATAATAATAATCATCATCATCATAGCCACCACCATCGTCATTCTCGATATCCTTTATTCTTTTCTTTGTACAAACTATTCTCAGTTTTATTAGGTAGAAATCAACGAAATAACTATAACAATCATAATAGAACCGCACAAACTAACGAAAATACTAGAGTATGCAAAAAACACAGCTGGTCATCGCGAAGACCACAACATGTAACATTTAAATCTTTATGGGCTCACCATACTCCAATCATAGATAAAGAGAATGTAGTATCCGTGTCTTATTACTCGCCAGACGTCTTATCACAAAGTCTTCACCTGCCAGTGAGTATATCGGTTGTTTCGTCGTCATCTTCAAAAAAACGGCGGCAACATAGACACGTACATTCGTTACCACACGAGCTGAAAACTCGGTATAGAGTATTACAGGAGTTAGGTTCCGGTGGTTTTGGATTCGTTGTTTCGGCAATTAGGCTTGCGGATAATCGTAAAGTCGCGATAAAATTCATTTATAAGAATAAAATACGTCGCTGGGCTTACGACAAGGAACTTGCCTTGGGTAATTAATTGATTTTTTATAGTGCCCACCATGTATGCAATGTACTGACATTCATATTAATAAATTGATGATCAGATTTACCCATGGAAATATTCGTATTACGACGCGTCGATCCACATGAAAATATCGTAAAATGCTTGGACATGATGGAAGATATAAAGTTCTATTATTTGGTAATGGAATATCACGGTGCTCAATGGTCGTCGAATAACAACACCACATCATGCGATCTATTTGAATGTATCGAACAATTTTCCGGGTTTCCCGAATCTCGAGCACGTTATATTTTCCGACAAATCGTGGAGGCATTGTGTCATTTGGACGCGCTTGGTATTTATCACCGTGATATAAAACTAGAGAACGTGACGATAGACGAGCATTTTATGGTGAAACTGGTGGATTTTGGGACGGCGGTGATAATTCCTAAAGGTGAATCGATAACTTTTGGTGGTTTGGTGGGAACTTGTAAGTAGCTCAAATAATTCCATTTTAAAGATTTCATATCATAAAAATTATTTGATAGTTATTTCGTGAATTGCTTTTCACGACAAGATTTTCCACCAGAAATGATTCAAGGACGAGAATGGCATCCTTGTCATGTTCAAATCTGGTCACTAGGTATATTACTTTATCGGCTTCTTTTCTGTATAACTCCGTTCGCAAATAAAAATGATATTTGCATGCGCCCATACAGGATACCGCCTCGAGAATGCAGGTAAAAAATTACTGTTATACGATTATTTTTACGCGTTAAGATCCTGCTTTATGCATTTATATTTTTACTCTTATTAACACTTGAATTCCTTTTCACAGTTACGATTTAAGGGATCTTTTAGACAAATTGTTAGAAAAAGCTCCTGAAAACAGACCGTCAATCTGGGATGTGCTGAATCATCCATGGGTAAACAAGACATCGGCATACACCAGATTTGGATCTTGGGATTTCTCGACTATCGAGTACATTGTTCTCAGTTTATGTGCTGCTTGGTCACCGTTGGGCGGAAGAAATTTCGGAGCGAATATTGTTCGATGAATTAGATATTTTTTCTACTTTGATTTTTTGTATATATGTAAAATAGTGTTTATAGTATAAGTTTTTCGTTTATTTATTTGAAGGGACTTTATTTTATATAAAGAAAACAATAGACATATTCATCATCTTTTTTTATATGCGTCTTTTTTTTCCGCACGTCAATTGAGTAGTCAGGATAGATATCAAATTCAGATATGAAGTCATAATTGCCGGTAAAGAAGTGTCTTTCTTCTACTGCTTCAGTATTGCTGGTTGTTTCAGAATAGAATCTGTCAAATCTGTCAAATAAGTTAAATTCTATCTTAATCAGAATAGAAAAAGTTGCACTATGTACTAATTTTAATGTAACTGAATTGAAGTTAGTAAAATTACAATAGATATCCATGTCACAAGAATATCTATCTGAGCCTAGAACTTGTGATAATATTACTAAACTTGAAAAAATATTCAGCTTTGTACTAAAAAAACTTCTGTTATTAGTATTAGTTATGAAATTTAAAATTTAAGTATAATAAATATTTTAGCAAAAAAAATTAATTCATGTATTATATATATATATTGTCACCATTTGATATTTTGATCACATGTAAAATATTATGTAACATAATTTTGATAATTATTTATATTTCCTTTTATATTTTTTTTATTTATAATTCTATTTAATTTATCTAATTTACATATAATTTATCAAAAATACCAATCAATTCTTTTTAATATCACATTATTTATTTTATTATAACATTATTCATCGGAAAATTTTCAAGAGCGCAGTTTTGCACAGATCTTCAAGTCCAAAAATCTGCGCAGATCTGCAAAAAAATATAGGTCTGCGCAGATTTTTTAAATTTTTTTTAAAATTCTGCACAAAACTTCGCAATGTCAGTTTCAAGTAGCAGTAGCAATTTCAA